AGCTGGTGCAGTTTTCATAAATCCAGCTAGATATATATTACAACAATAGCGTAGAATTTAAAATTAGTCATATGCCTGATGTTTTTACCGAATTTAAAAAAAGTTACTTGACTTGACCTGACTTGGCTTGAGAGCACTCGTGGTAGAAAACCATCGCTTCCAGAATTTTATGGTTTCACGCTGGGTTTCACGTTTCCACTGTCTCCGACATCTCACCTGTGTATTCTTGCTTGAAATAGTCCAGTTTCGAGTTCTCTATGAGCGCTGAATTAATATATTCCAACGAGAAAAAGGCCTTTTCATTACTCTGCCTATTGTGTTATTACTCTATCTATTGTGTTTATTCAAATTTCAAGCACTTACTTGCCGGATTTCTAAATATTTTACTTTATATCTAGGGTAATCCTTATGAACGTGTCGTTAATGATTGTATTCAGCGGTAATTTTTAATTCGAAGCTAACACATAAATGAAAATTAGACGAGAGGTACTTACCTTGAAGTGTAATTGAAGTTCTATTAAGATATGTGGAGCATTATGGGATAATTATGCGTACTTCCTACCTACCTACTGGTCAGCGGTCACGTTTAAAAGAAGTTATTCAAATGTAAATTAGCAGTGATATAAACCCCGGGAGGCGGCGTGATAACCAGTTCTTCCTGGAGAGCGAGGTCCTCAAGGGAACTAAGTGTGGGAACATGAAAAAAGGAAAAAGAGACAGGTTTGGGAAGCATTATCCCATAATGCTCCACATATCTTAAGAAAACTTCAATTACGCTTCAAGGTAAGTACCTCTCGTCTAATTTTCATTTCTCTTTCTATACGCTCCGCATTATGGGATAATCATGCGATTTAAAAGAACCGCGGCCTAAAAACACTAAACAATTCCATATACGGCAAAATAAGGCATTTATTAGGTTAAACGCTTAGACCTACTCTTAGACCGGAACATCTCTAAAATAATGTCTGCGAAAAACATGCTCACTAGACCAAATTGCCATCTTAAGGATATCTGCAACTGGGGTGCCCGTGACATACGCATGAGATGTGGCAGCCCCTCTTACACTGTGTGCCTTAAATTTCGACGTGTAAATCCTTGCGGACTGTAACACTGACATGATCCACCTAGCCATTGTCCTAGGGGACACTGGGGTTGTATGGCCTAATGAAGGACAAAAACAATTTAGAAACAAAATGTCCACTACGAAACCTAAGCGTTTCAGAGCGAGAAATATACTCCTTTAATGCGGCAAGCGGGCAAATTGAAGTACAACCTAAAGACGAAAATGTGATCTCAATAGACTTCCCTGGCCTGTAAGTCTTTAACCGATCAGTCACAACAAAGCTAATTGAATCTTGAGATTATTCTTAAATTTAGATCTAAAGTAGATAATGTCTCCTTTCTCGGTGCAGAGGCTAATGCACACAGCATGACAGTCTTAAGAGTTAACAACTTTAAACTTAGCTCAAGTAGGGGAGCAAAAGTCTTTAAATAGTCAGTCACTTTAGAAATATACCATGTAGAAGAATACCTTGGAGTAGGTGGTCTGAGAATGTAAACTCCCTTGAGTAATCTCGCTATTCAAGGATGTAAACCAAGAGAATCTCGATCATCATTCATGGAACAAAGCGTTGTAGAAAGTGCAGAACGGTAAGTGTTAATGGTACTGTATCCTTTTCCTTCATGATAACAATCATTTAAGAACTCCATAACCTGGATGACAGAAGCTTGAAGTAACTCAATTTGCCGTTTATGACAGCAGCCCCAGACCACTTGTCCCACACTCCCTTGTACTGTTTCTCAGTGCCAGCTGTCCAAGATGCACAGATGATGTCAACTACTTGCTTTGAAAATCCCTTGTTTGACAGAGTTTTCCTGATAACGTCCAAGCGGCCAAGTTCAGTTTCTGTCTCAGCGGGTGCTGTTCTTGGTTGTGAGGGAGACTCAGGAGGTTGTCTAGAAGAGGCAACAAGCTAGATTGGCTGAACTGTTGACAACTGTAACAGAAGTGGATACCAACTTTAGGTAGGCCATACCGGTGCAATTAACAAAATAAAATAACAGGAAAACTTGACGTTTTGCAGAAGAAATCAACAGATAAATTGATCAGTCTGCCGTTGTGAAAGAATTTGCTGGAGAGTTTGAAAGTTTTGTTTTGTCGACCATTGAAAAATATCACAATGTTAGGTCCTCGACCTATGACCCTAGTGAGCACAAATAAAGAAAATCATACATAAAAGAAAGCAACAATTGTTTTTAATGACAAAGGGTAAAATATGATATTTCTCTAAAGATCAAGGTGAAAGCTTAAAAAAAGTTGAGAAAAGAGCCCAAAAACTTATTGATCGAGACGCACACACGCCCGATGACATGTATTGCGATTAGATTGCGTGACTTGTATGAAAGGCTGTTGTCTGAAAAGGAGAACAAATTATGGATCACGCTCCTCTTTTTCTGAATTCCAAGAGAAACATTCAAGTTATCATTAAAGTAACTTTCAGATTGTGTGCTTTGATTGCTGTAGGATATTCAAGGTAAAATACTGTACTGCTTGGTAACCTCTCGGTCGAATCATGACGGTCGAATCATGTCTAAAAATCATGGTGTATACACAGCACTGAAATCAGCTGTAAAGAAATGTCACTCGCTGACTGATGCTGCTCATATTCACACAACAACTCATCTAAATCTGTAAAGAATAAACTCGCTCTCTGTACCACGGACCTCACGGCGATCACTGCCATCCGCCATCTTGCTCATATGGACAGGTATTTAGTTTCCAAGTCCCTCGCGGTAACAAGGGGCCAACTCGGACCCAATTTGTTGACACAAATTTTTGGTGGTTGATCTTGAAAGCTTTTGGTTCGTGACTTAATTTGAAAATCAGAAAGAGTTGATAGTGAAGCAACATGGTTTTTGTTGAGGCGATTTGTCGTCGTTCATTTAAGACTGATTGCAATGTTGAAGTTGCAAAGCTGAATGCGTTGACGTTGATAACGTTCTTAAAGTTGGTGTTGATGTTGAGAAATATTTGTTGAATTAGGTATCAAGTTGTTGATTTTGACATATATTTTCTCTCTTGAATTTTGCTACTATTTGGCTACCATATCCGTCATGTAGAGCCTTCACACAGCTAGAGTGTATGGCCAAGTCCAGAGTGTCTTTTTGATGGACTTTGAATATTTCTTTGCTAATCAGGAACCGAGGAGAGAGTCACCTTAAGAGAACCATGGGTAAGAGCTGAGTTTCTTGGCAATATTTACTTTAGTTGAGTTGGTTTAAGGTGTGTGGCCCCGAGGAGCCAGCTGGTGCGGTTTTCATAAATCCAGCTAGATATATATTACAACAATAGCGTAGAATTTAAAATTAGTCATATGCCTGATGTTTTTACCGAATTTAAAAAAAGTTATTTGACTTGACCTGACTTGGCTTGAGAGCACTCGTGGTAGAAAACCATCGCTTCCAGAATTTTATGGTTTCACGCTGGGTTTCACGTTTCCACTGTCTCCGACATCTCACCTGTGTATTCTTGCTTGAAATAGTCCAGTTTCGAGTTCTCTATGAGCGCTGAATTAATATATTCCAACGAGAAAAAGGCCTTTTCATTACTCTGCCTATTGTGTTATTACTCTATCTATTGTGTTTATTCAAATTTCAAGCACTTACTTGCCGGATTTCTAAATATTTTACTTTATATCTAGGGTAATCCTTATGAACGTGTCGTTAATGATTGTATTCAGCGGTAATTTTTAATTCGAAGCTAACACATAAATGAAAATTAGACGAGAGGTACTTACCTTGAAGTGTAATTGAAGTTCTATTAAGATATGTGGAGCATTATGGGATAATTATGCGTACTTCCTACCTACCTACTGGTCAGCGGTCACGTTTAAAAGAAGTTATTCAAATGCAAATTAGCAGTGATATAAACCCCGGGAGGCGGCGTGATAACCAGTTCTTCCTGGAGAGCGAGGTCCTCAAGGGAACTAAGGGTGGGAACATGAAAAAAGGAAAAAGAGACAGGGTTGGGAAGCATTATCCCATAATGCTCCACATATCTTAAGAAAACTTCAATTACGCTTCAAGGTAAGTACCTCTCGTCTAATTTTCATTTCTCTTTCTATACGCTCCGCATTATGGGATAATCATGCGATTTAAAAGAACCGCGGCCTAAAAACACTAAACAATTCCATATACGGCAAAATAAGGCATTTATTAGGTTAAACGCTTAGACCTACTCTTAGACCGGAACATCTCTAAAATAATGTCTGCGAAAAACATGCTCACTAGACCAAATTGCCATCTTAAGGATATCTGCAACTGGGGTGCCCGTGACATACGCATGAGATGTGGCAGCCCCTCTTACACTGTGTGCCTTAAATTTCGACGTGTAAATCCTTGCGGACTGTAACACTGACATGATCCACCTAGCCATTGTCCTAGGGGACACTGGGGTTGTATGGCCTAATGAAGGACAAAAACAATTTAGAAACAAAATGTCCACTACGAAACCTAAGCGTTTCAGAGCGAGAAATATACTCCTTTAATGCGGCAAGCGGGCAAATTGAAGTACAACCTAAAGACGAAAATGTGATCTCAATAGACTTCCCTGGCCTGTAAGTCTTTAACCGATCAGTCACAACAAAGCTAATTGAATCTTGAGATTATTCTTAAATTTAGATCTAAAGTAGATAATGTCTCCTTTCTCGGTGCAGAGGCTAATGCACACAGCATGACAGTCTTAAGAGTTAACAACTTTAAACTTAGCTCAAGTAGGGGAGCAAAAGTCTTTAAATAGTCAGTCACTTTAGAAATATACCATGTAGAAGAATACCTTGGAGTAGGTGGTCTGAGAATGTAAACTCCCTTGAGTAATCTCGCTATTCAAGGATGTAAACCAAGAGAATCTCGATCATCATTCATGGAACAAAGCGTTGTAGAAAGTGCAGAACGGTAAGTGTTAATGGTACTGTATCCTTTTCCTTCATGATAACAATCATTTAAGAACTCCATAACCTGGATGACAGAAGCTTGAAGTAACTCAATTTGCCGTTTATGACAGCAGCCCCAGACCACTTGTCCCACACTCCCTTGTACTGTTTCTCAGTGCCAGCTGTCCAAGATGCACAGATGATGTCAACTACTTGCTTTGAAAATCCCTTGTTTGACAGAGTTTTCCTGATAACGTCCAAGCGGCCAAGTTCAGTTTCTGTCTCAGCGGGTGCTGTTCTTGGTTGTGAGGGAGACTCAGGAGGTTGTCTAGAAGAGGCAACAAGCTAGATTGGCTGAACTGTTGACAACTGTAACAGAAGTGGATACCAACTTTAGGTAGGCCATACCGGTGCAATTAACAAAAAACTAAGGCTTCGTCTTGGTGAATCTTGGCTAGTACTTGAGGTAGCAAACTAAAAGGAGGAAAGGCATAGCAATTCATTAGCCCAGCGCTCAAAGAAAAGGCATCTATAGCCACTGCACCTGGCTGTGGGTGCCAGGAGATAAACTGTGCAGTCTTGGCATTAAGCCTTAAAGGCGCAAAGAGGTCAATCTCAGGAATAAAGGTTCGAGAAATAATTTCCTGAAAAACCTCACCATTTAAGGACCACTCCAAATTAGAGGAGATTTCCCTGGATAAGGTATCGGTCTGAGTATCAACCTTCCCTGGGATGTGCTGAGCAGAAATGAAAACATCCCTCAACTTGCACCATTCCCAAATACTTCTGGACAATGAATCTAATAAGGGGGATCGTACACCCCCCATATTATTAATATAGGCCACTGCACTGGAGTTGTCAACTGCAAGTCTAACATGAATAGACCTTGAGTTAAACACAAAACACTGGAGACCATGAAATGATGCTAGAAGTTCCAGATAATTAATATGATGTTTGGATTCACTTTGAGACCATCGGCCAGATGCAGACAGGCTACCACTCACGGCTCCCCAACCAATCAAACTTGCATCACTCCCGATGTAAATATCAATTTTCGGAACGTGAAAAAGTCTACCATTCCACTGGGTAATATTCTCAATGACCCATTGTAAATCAGAACGAGCTTGAGAGCTTAAAGATAGTGTCTTGTCATAATCAAGGCTTCCAGACAAAGTCTGAGTCTTGCATAATTCTAAGGAACAGTAATGCATCTTTAGATACAGTAATTCACAGCCGGGAGTGCAGAAACTAACAGCCCAGTTACTTTAGCGGCTTTACAGGCCGAGAGTATTTTCTCTAACTTAACAGCCGGCAACTGCAATCTCATTGCTATGGAATTAATTATGAAACCCAAATAAAGGATCTCAGTGATTATGTGATAGGAACCAGCTGAGATTTCTCAACATTGACAGTAAAGCCCAACTCACAAAGAGTTTGTTTTAAGACCTCAAGTTGCTGTAAACACTCATCATAAGAGCTTACAATAAGTATGAGATCATCAATGAAAATAATAACCCTGAAGCCAAGAAATCTAAAATATGCTATAAGAAGGCTTAAAAATCTTAGTGAAAACCCTGGGTGCAAGGCTGTACCCAAAAGGTAGGCAAGTAAACTCATAACGCTTGAAATTCCATAGAAAACGTGAGTATTTACAATGGGGCTGGAAAACAGGTACACTGAAGTAAGCATCGTTAAGGTCAATAGAGACCATGAAGTCCCCAGGAGAAATACAATTCAAGGCCAAGCGGTTATTCTCCATCTTAAACTGAATCTTTTCAACAAATTGATTTAAGGGCTTAAGGTTTCTAACTTGCCGAAAGTCCCCGGTCTTCTTGGGAACCAAACAGACTGTAGAAATCAACAACAACAACAATAAGCTTTATTTGCATGACCATAACAAAGTATNAGGCATCTATAGCCACTGCACCTGGCTGTGGGTGCCAGGAGATAAACTGTGCAGTCTTGGCATTAAGCCTTAAAGGCGCAAAGAGGTCAATCTCAGGAATAAAGGTTCGAGAAATAATTTCCTGAAAAACCTCACCATTTAAGGACCACTCCAAATTAGAGGAGATTTCCCTGGATAAGGTATCGGTCTGAGTATCAACCTTCCCTGGGATGTGCTGAGCAGAAATGAAAACATCCCTCAACTTGCACCATTCCCAAATACTTCTGGACAATGAATCTAATAAGGGGGATCGTACACCCCCCATATTATTAATATAGGCCACTGCACTGGAGTTGTCAACTGCAAGTCTAACATGAATAGACCTTGAGTTAAACACAAAACACTGGAGACCATGAAATGATGCTAGAAGTTCCAGATAATTAATATGATGTTTGGATTCACTTTGAGACCATCGGCCAGATGCAGACAGGCTACCACTCACGGCTCCCCAACCAATCAAACTTGCATCACTCCCGATGTAAATATCAATTTTCGGAACGTGAAAAAGTCTACCATTCCACTGGGTAATATTCTCAATGACCCATTGTAAATCAGAACGAGCTTGAGAGCTTAAAGATAGTGTCTTGTCATAATCAAGGCTTCCAGACAAAGTCTGAGTCTTGCATAATTCTAAGGAACAGTAATGCATCTTTAGATACAGTAATTCACAGCCGGGAGTGCAGAAACTAACAGCCCAGTTACTTTAGCGGCTTTACAGGCCGAGAGTATTTTCTCTAACTTAACAGCCGGCAACTGCAATCTCATTGCTATGGAATTAATTATGAAACCCAAATAAAGGATCTCAGTGATTATGTGATAGGAACCAGCTGAGATTTCTCAACATTGACAGTAAAGCCCAACTCACAAAGAGTTTGTTTTAAGACCTCAAGTTGCTGTAAATACTCATCATAAGAGCTTACAATAAGTATGAGATCATCAATGAAAATAATAACCCTGAAGCCAAGAAATCTAAAATATGCTATAAGAAGGCTTAAAAATCTTAGTGAAAACCCTGGGTGCAAGGCTGTACCCAAAAGGTAGGCAAGTAAACTCATAACGCTTGAAATTCCATAGAAAACGTGAGTATTTACAATGGGGCTGGAAAACAGGTACACTGAAGTAAGCATCGTTAAGGTCAATAGAGACCATGAAGTCCCCAGGAGAAATACAATTCAAGGCCAAGCGGTTATTCTCCATCTTAAACTGAATCTTTTCAACAAATTGATTTAAGGGCTTAAGGTTTCTAACTTGCCGAAAGTCCCCGGTCTTCTTGGGAACCAAACAGACTGTAGAAATCAACAACAACAACAATAAGCTTTATTTGCATGACCATAACAAAGTATAACAGTATTGCAAAATCTACTTGAAATTACTCATTGATTCCTTGTAAATTAAATATTTAAAATAATTTGAAACTTATTAATCATTGTTTATTTCTAACCATCAGTAGGATTAATTATTCCGGAGATAAGTTTGTCTCTCAATTCAAAGCAAGTTGATAAAATGAAATTAATTGGATGTTAATAAAATAGTCAGTAGAATTCATCAGATGTGATAATAAGGTCTCATGTGATTGTAGTCGCAGAAACGGTATTTTAGGTTGTAGTTTAGAGAACATATCTTTTATCGAAGAAAAACTTGGACAATCTAATAAAAAGTGAGTTTCATCTTCAATTCTGTTACAATTGCAGAGATTGCATAACCTTTCGTCACGTGGTAGATTGTCGTATCTACCTGTCTCAAAAAATCAAAAAATCAAAAAATCAATTCTTTATCACAACGAGACACTTAGTCACAGCGCCCTTGGAAATTAGCTTTTTAATCTCTGACTCAATTAAAGCAGTTTCCCTTTCACTAAAATTTAGGAAACTTTGGAAGATTTACTTAATGAGGGGTTGTCTCAAACTCAAGGTGATAACCTGAGACAGTTTGTAAGATCCATGGATCACTAGCAAACTCCCTCCATTTGGTTAGATTCCAAGATAAACTACCAGCCTGTAACAAACCAGGTACAGATTGTACATTTACCTTGTTTACACTTTGTCCTTCTGTGGTTTGGTGCTGGTTATTGGAACTGATCGTCCTCCTACTTGTTGCCGGTCGTGAAAGTAACTTCCACGACCTCGGTAGCCTAAAAAAGTGGAGTTTCTGCCAGACCTCTGTGGGTAGTTCCTGCTAGGTTCATCAGACCCTCTCTTGTAAGAACTGACCATGTTCTTGATTGAAGTCGGACGGCCAGACACCTTCCTAGATATCTTATTGACCTCTCCGATCTCCTTAATATGCTTGGGCAATTCATCCGCAAACAAACAAGTTGTAATGGCGTTGGACTTGTTACAAACAGACTGATAAGGCTTAGCGATATCTGGTTTAAGAAGCTCTCTTCGTTTAAGAGATGTAAGAAATAAGGCATGCCTCAGAAAGGTAACACCCTCTGCCAATAAAGGTCAAATCAAAAAATCAAATCAATAAAGCTTTATTAACGGTAAAGCTTTAGGTAGCAAAACATTGGGATCCATTGAAGACCTATCTTTACGAGCTTTTAAGTGCCATTGTCTGAGAAAACCGGGCAGAGGCCACGGATCGAGGTCAACCGATTCCTTTCATCTTTCGGCTGTTTTCAACCTTCATTGAGACAGGATGAATGGCAGTATTCTTAAACTTCATCAGCTTTTAGTTTCCGAGATCAGACCACCCCCCCTAAAAACCAGCCGACAGCAACTGAAAATACGTTTAATTTAGATGCTTAACTTCGGCAAAGCGTAAAATTTTTTCTCGCGCTGCAAATACCTCCAACTTCAGGATACTGTCATTTCGATAGACCTGCTATGATTCTAGGTCATCAACGGCCACTTCCAACCATTTATCAATGTCTCAAAGGCAAAATAATTTGCACATAGAAAAATTTTGAAATATTATTTGCTTGATGAACCACTTTTTCAAAAATCGTTTTCTCACAAAAGCGGCAGTTTGTGAGGAAATGAAATACTTCTTTGTACTCATTATTACCCCTACTATACATGTAAAAAAACAGAAGTTTGGGACCTGGTAAATTACAAACGTTGTTAACGAGAGTTAAAAGTCCATTTTATCGCCAATATCGGGCGAAAGGTCATGTCACGGAAAGTTTGTCACGCATTCTAAATTGACCAAGACTTAAATAAATCTTACTGAGAAATTCGGTACATTACAAAATACAAAATTCAGCTTTTTATTAAAAAAGAAAGTTTATAAAATAAGGCTATCCGTCAAACATCAGCATTCTTTCTTTGAAAACTGTTTCCGTTTTGTTTACATTTGCGCGATGGCACAACGCCAGTTTTACAGTCCGCAGATTCTTCGGGAAAAAATAATAAAAAGTAAAAAAAGTCTTTCGTGGAATTTTCGATATCAACTTGGCTATTAGAATGACGGCTGAATTCAACTGACAAAAACTTTGACATATTAATTTTTATGGGGCTCTCTTTTAGAGAAACTTGAATAAGTTTTCTTTACTTTTTTGGATTTCACCTGTCAGTCATCCTAATTACAAAATTTTCACACACGCTTCGGAAAATATTCATCACTTTCTGTCGATGTTAAAAAACGATAGCATCTTCAAAATGAGTTGCTCCTTTTTTCCCGAAGATTCACATTGTGGACCTGCACCGGGAAAAGAGGATATTACTATCGTTCCAGTAAAGTCGTGTGCGAATAATATATTTGACCATCTGTCCGCACTCGGTGTAAGTGGAAAAACGCAAAGTGGAAATACGCAAATTGTCGAAGCTGAAGTCCTTTTTAACCGTGGCGGTTTTATCGCGCCCAGCCAAAAACAGGTAGACGAATTGACTGAGTGCCCACGGCATAGATATCTCTTGACCTATGGATGGCCGGGTAGAAAGCGATTGACATGTTTTCATCCTGATCATCTGGGAAAGCTCACGAAGCAGAATAATGCTCGACGCGTCAACCTGGAAATGTCGAGAAGCATATATTTCTTAGAAAACCATTCAGTTCTACTTGGAGCAGGTATGAGAAAACATTAGTACATGCATTGATAGAACACTTCTTGCTGGAGAACATTATCAGTGACTTACAGTTATCATAACTGAGCTTGGGTAGCCTGTGATTATACAGAAAGGATCTTATTTTTTTGGTATCTTGAGTAGAAACCCTAGTTTATTTCCATCACGACTGTGTAAAGAGTGAGAAAGGAGTGAATGTTCCTTATTTTTCCACCCCAGCATTTTTTGTGAGAGAAAACAAAATCAGGACACGTTATTTATTTATCTATTAATTTATTTTGCCTTGGCCTCGTTAGTTATATGTACAAAGTGCAGAAAAAGACACTACCAGATACGATAAGTAAAGCAACTTGAGACAACTGTAGTGGTAAGTTCATACTACCTTGATTAGCAATTTTACATTACAGTTAAATTTGAAAAGCGAATGACACATGTAACTAAATCACATAAATAAAACGCATAGTGGTTACCGTGTGGCACTAAATTTTTCTCGTGGATGCTAAATTTTGCGGGGGTGCTTTGCGGGGACTATGTTGTGAATTAATGAAGACTTAACAGCAAGAGAGGATAAAGGGGACAGAAAAGGCATCCCCCATACACACCCTATTCCACAGGTAATTCGTCTCGAGTTATTTTTAACACCACAGATCTCAAGGGGGATTAGACAACAGCCAATCACATAGCGCGAATGTGTTCTGCGTGGATGACCCACGCTCAGAGGCACGCATCCTTCACGAATTGACGCAGAACAAAAGGGCGGAAGACGAGGAGATTGATATTGCTATTCGTTTTGTCGACGAAAACGACTGCAGAGAGATTTCTCCTAAAGCTGTGCCAGCGAAACGGAAATTTAAAAAAAATCGCCCTTCCTCTCTTGTATAGAGCTAACAGTACAGCAGAGAAATCCTTAACACACTGAATATTCTCTCAGGATCATTTATAATTTACAGTTTGAAGAGAGCAATTTCTGGTTTGATATTTATTCTTTTATTAGTCTTTTATTATTCAACAAAAATAACAATTGGCGTCCTACTTGCTTTATTGTACAAACGACCGGCGAAATTTCTCATTTTATTAAAGCACTGAGGTTACGACATGTTTTGCACGGCGTTTAGTCATGCGAAACTTCCACGAAACATCCACGCAGCGCGCGAGGTAACTTTATCCCGATTCTAAAAATAACTCGAGACGAATTTCCTATGGAATAGGGTATGTATGGGGGATGCCTTCTCTGTCCCCTTTATCCTCTCCTGTTAACAGCTATTTCGAGAAAGGTTGTCGGAAAAAATGTGCACGCGACAATCCTGAAAGGTTTGGGATATTATCAATACACTGATCCTGACACTGTAGCTGTCAAACCTACTTTTGTTGCTTTTCTTTAGCACTCGCAAACATACCTCCATGGCCTCTCTCGTGCCATTCTTTCAAAATTTCTTTAAAGAACAGTAAACTCAAAACCACCCACAACTATACCTTTCGGGATTGTCGCGTGCACTTTTTCCGACAACCTTCCTCGAAATAGCTGTATACTCTTAGTAAGTTGGCGAAAACAATTTTGTGTTAATTGCATTAATGTGCTAATGAAACTGGTGGGACAAACAAAATCAAAGGAATTAGTAAGCTCAACAATTTTGAGCTTACAGAAGAGGGAATTCGCATTTGGAGTGCATACCAAATTGGTCCCGGAAAACTGGTGTCGTGTGAAGGAATGAAACCACAGGGAAAGACTGGATTGAAGTTGTTACAACCTTTTGGGGCAATAGCCCAGGCCCAAGGCATTTTCAACACGAGGCCCACTTATAAAGAGCGATCCGCCAAAAATAAGGTCTGTGTGGTAAGGTTTGAAAACGAAAACGAAGCACAAAATCATATGGACACTGGAGTTCATAAGCTTGTTTTGGAACGTGAAACACTTTACGACAGTGTGCGAAGAAAATGGGCGCAGCATGTTACCGAAATAGCTTCCCGGACGACTCTGAGCGTGCCAACTACATCAACCCGAGCGCTTCGTACAAGCAACGGAAATGAAGCTCCCACTTCGCAGGGTTGGGCACTAAAAGGTCAAAAAACTGCTACTGAGACCTCCGAGAACGTTAAAAGTTTTTTGATTGCAAAATTCAATGAGGGCCTTAGTGGCCAGAAGGCAAATCCGTCAGAAGTCGCAAAGGAGATGCAGGAAGCTAAATACTCGAATGGTTCACCTGTATTTTTGCCAGAGGACTGGAAAACTGCACGGCAAATAAGCAGCTTTTTTTCCCGACTGTCAGCATTAAAGAAAAGCAGTCATGTCGCTTCAGTAACATTACGTGATGAAGAAAATGTCGATGAAGAGGATCTTAGGAGCTGGGAAGGTCACTTAGAAGCAGAGAGTATACGGAAGGAAGTGTACAGTGCAGTGGATCTTCAACACCCAGTTTATTCTGAAGGCCACAATATTTGCTTGATGGCAAAAGAAAGAAAGCTTAAAAATCTCAAAGTGGTAGACCTAAAGAACATCTGTACAAATCTTTCTTTGACGACCACTGGAAATCAGCAAAGAAAAGTTACCTTCATAAACGCCATTGAGGAGTTAGTTAATTCTTGTTCATGTAGCAATTTGTTGTAAGACATCGACTGTATCGGGGTAGATTAACTTGAAACAGTATGAGAGAAGCCTAGATGACTCAGTCAGAGACCAGTTCAGTGGTGACGCAATTTTTTACGATTGCTATTACGGCATTTTGACATCGTATATAGTAGTTAAGAGTGTGTATTAAGGACACCTTAACAATCGCTATTTATGTAAATTTATGTAAATTTATTTATTTACATACGCCCCTAATTAGCCTAAATATTCAGTAGAGCGATTTTCGTATAACCTTGAAACGAAAACAACAAAGGAACAGAAATAAAGCGGTTTGATTAGTTTATCGAACGGATACAAACGCACGTGACTTTTGGTTGGTTAAGCAAACGCTCGGGTAAAAAAAGTTTATGCCCGAGAACTTTAAGAAATCAATGAGATACTTCGCTTTGATGTCATACTGCAACAAGATTGGCCAATCAAACAATGCTTTCTTCCCTTTTATTGGGTTTTCTTTGGCGGGAAAACGAATAGTCCATGTTTCGATCTTTTCATCCATTGGCTTATAAAACAAATAACGAACACTTACTGAAACGATTTTCAAGGTCATACGCAAATCGCTCTACTGAATATTTAGGCTAAT